CTATTTAAACGGTGGGGTGAAGTTTATCTAAGGGCAATGGCTTTGTAAATACGCATATGCATTTTAAGAACAATATGCCTTTGCAGTGGTCCTTTGTAAATGGCAAGCAGCTATTTTTCTCCTTCTCCTGGAAGCCTGTGGATGATGAACCGACATGTCCCAGATCTTTTGTCGCAGGCTTGGAACCCACAAAGGGCCTATCTGGGACCCCCGAGGGATTCTGGAAGTCTTTGGCTGAAGCTCCTTTGCAGCAGCGCAAGGGCTGCTGCAGTTTTGGCAAGGACTGAGGACGCTGTGCCTAGCATCTGGGTCAAACCCCCCCCCCCCATGGCTTGCCAGTCAACTGGATGAGATGCTGTGTTTTTTGCGGGGCAGGGGAAGGATGTTGCGGGGCGGGGGAAGGACTTTGAGGCTACATCTGAAATGCCCCAAACTCTTTGAAAAGCCGTCAGACGTGGGAACTAAACATCAGCCAACTAATGGCAAGGACGGAAATGACTGAGGGACAGTCAGTTCTCCCTCATCTGACCTGCAAGGATTAGAGGATCACAGAAGAAGGAGGAGGAGGAGGAGGAGGAGGAGGTGGGATTTGTACTCTGCCCTTCACTACCCGAAGGTGTCTCAGAGCGGCTGACAAACTCCTTCCCCTTCCCCTCCCCACCACGGACACCCTGTGAGGTAGGTGGGGCTGAGAGAGCTCTTGGCAGAAACGGCTCTTTTTCAAGGACAGCTCTTATCAGAACTACGGCTTGCCCAAGGTCATCCAGCCAGGTGCAAGTGGAGGAGGAGTGGGGAATCAAACCCGGTTCTCCCAGATTAGAGTCCGCGCACTTAAACCACTACACCAAACTGGCTTTATCCCATAGAAAAGGGGTTGGATCCATTCCGCGAACGGCACCCCTCCCCCGGCACAAGGAGCACTCCCGGGATGCCAGAGACTCTTGGTTCAGAGGACGGTTCCCTGTGCCAGTGGTGGAAGCGCTGTTAGCAGAATGGGTGTGCAGGATCCACCCAATGCTCCCTCTAAGCCGTGGAGTCTTGCGAGCAAAAAGTCTACTTTGTGAGCTCCTGGAGTCAAAGTGGTGAGCGAGCGGTTTGGCTGCTGCATAAATCAGTCTGCTCTGGAGCCCCATCCCTTCCTGAGTTAAGGCAAAAAGGTGTGAGCCGGCAGCTAAAAAACGGTGAGCTAGCTCACACCGACTCAGCTTAGAGGGAACACTGGATCCAACCCGTATGCTGCTGTATGCTGAGCCAGAACCCTGGCCCATCAAGGTCAGTACTGTTTAGAGTTGGCAGCCCCCCAGTGGGAGAGAAAAGCAAGAAGGTCACAGTCTACAGTACAGCTGGCTGGTGGGGGGATATCCCACCCAGAACTGACCTCTTTGGGCTTTCTTCCGGTTTGGAGCCCTACTTCCAGTTTCAGATCTACTTCCATATGGAGTGATGCTCTGGTCTTTGGGCAAAACAATGGTTTGAAGCCAAAGTTACCATAGAGTTCTGCCCAGAAATGAGAGTGTTCACCCCACATCCGGAAGTAGGCCTGAAACCGGAAGCAGGCCCAAAAATGCCTAACTTGACTTCCAGTCTCCCGGAAGGATGTCGGGGGACCCTCGCTAGCCAGGTAAGTTGACTTGGCAACCGCTAGTCCTGTCCTCTCAGACTGCCAGTGGCTCTCTGGAAGCGAAAGGTCTTTCACATCACCCACTACCTGGCTCTTTGAACTGGAGATGCCGGTAGGGTTGCCAAGTCTATTTATCTTGGTGGCAGGGGAGCCTCGCCGGGCTCCAGGAGCCGTAGGTGGATGTGTGTGCACGCGCACCGCCAGCACGTCACCAGAAGTGACGCTGGGCAATGTGAAATTAAAGAGGGGGCGTGGGTCAGTGGCAGAGCCTCTGCTTGGCATGCAGAAAGTCCCCCGGCATCTCCAGTTAAAAAGGACCAGACAGTGGGTGATGTGAAAGACCTCCACTTGAGACCCTGGAGGGCTGTAAAGAGGGGCTGTGGCTCAGCGGCAGAGCCTCTGCTCGGTATGCAGAACATCGCAGGTTCAGTCCCCGGCATCTCCAGTTAAAAGGACCAGGCAGGAGGTGATGGGAAAGACCTCTGCCTGAGACCCTGGAGAGCTGTAAAGAGGGGCTGTGGCTCAGTGGCAGAGCCTCTGCTTGGCATGCAGAAGGTCCCAGGTTCAATCCCCAGAGGCATCTCCAGTTAAAAAGGGCCAGGCAAGAGGGGATGGGAAAGACCTCCACTTGAGACCCTGGAGAGCTGTAAAGAGGGGCTGTGGTTCAGTGGCAGAACCTCTGCTTGGCACGCAGAAGGTCCCCGGTTCAGTTCCCGGCATCTCCAGTTAAAAGGACCAGGCAGGAGGTGATGGGAAAGACCTCTGCCTGAGACCCTGGAGAGCTGTAAAGAGGGGCTGTGGCTCAGTGGCAGAGCCTCTGCTTGGCATGCAGAAGGTCCCAGGTTCAATCCCCAGAGGCATCTCCAGTTAAAAAGGGCCAGGCAAGAGGGGATGGGAAAGACCTCTGCCTGAGACCCTGGAGAGCTGTAAAGAGGGGCTGTGGCTCAGTGGCAGAGCCTCTGCTTGGCATGCAGGAGGTCCCAGGTTCAGTCCCCGGCATCTCCAGTTAAAAAGGACCAGACAGTGGGTGATGTGAAAGACCTCCACTTGAGACCCTGGAGGGCTGTAAAG